CATCAGAATTTCAAAGTGCTGCAGAACTGTTTTTACTAATGCCTCTCTGATACTAGCAGAGCTCCTTCCTTTGCCACTATGTATTGTAGAAAAGGTTCTAAACTACTACATCAGAACTACAAATGTCAAGGCTCAACAACGGTCTCTACTCCTATCTATGGCTGTTCATATGCTACCACATTGTAATTACCCTACTATCTCTGATCATCATCCCGTAAACAAGGTTATTTGGTGTCATCTGCTTCCTCCATGGATAATCATACAGACATTAATATCTACACAGATGGGTCCAAAAGCTCCCTTCTTGTCAGCTCGAGTATCTGTATCTTCCTCCAAACTGACATATTATGCCTAAAATATGTTAGAAGATAGATACCTCCCATATACCTCCATCTATCAAGCTGAAGAAGATTCTGACTATCAAGCTGTTCAGTGGGCCACTTCACTACCAAACAAAACTCTGTCTATCAACATTTACAGTGATTCTCAGTCTGTCATAAAAGCTCTATTAAATCCCAATTGCAATAGCAATAAAATCGCATATATCCAGCACCATTTTAAAAATCTTGTAAATAGGATAACTTTTATATTTGTTCCTGGCCATATTGGCATACTAGGAAATGAAAAAGCCGACTTTGAGCCTAAGTCAGCTGCAAAGGACACTGATTTGGACTACACTCGCATCCCTCTCTCACGTAGCAGCCTTAAAAATTATATTCATGACAACGCTATGCAAAAGTGGAATCAGTAAAAGTAGTTGAGCAGTAAAACTGGTAGAATAAAAAGACTTTAATTTCCTAGTGTTGAATGTAGGTTGTCATCACTACTTAGAGATTTAGCATATGCTACTGCTCAACTATTTACTGAGCATGGTAATTTTAGAAGCTACCCAGCGATGTATAACCAGGCAGAAACTGCTCCTTGCTTTTGCTGTACAGAAAACCTAGACATCGCCACCCATATGATCTATCATTGTCCAATTTACTATCAAGATAGACTTATTCTGAAATTAGAAATTTTTACGCTTGGTTTCAGGTGGCTATGTCCACTCGATAAGTTTGTTCAGAAACCACTGTTTGATGCTTTTTACAATTATGTTCAAAAAATATGGAACAAAAGACTATTTATAATTTCTAATATCTAGTTTTACATTTTAGTTTTCACTAAAAGCCGAATACTATTTTATGTTTACTTTGTATCATGTATTTTGGTTTGTGTATTCTTAGTGTTAGCCTATACAACCCACAGGAGTGGTGCACTTATTTTAATAAAAAACCGAGAGAGAAACCACCACACGGCCTTTCTCCCATGACAAAAAATGTGTAGAGCGTGAATCTGCTAGTATTATTACTCTATCACGTCACACGAGATAATGAGCGTTCTTAATAGAAACCGCCAAATTGAAGCCAAATTCAAAACGCCACCACTCAACGAGATCAAAAAATAAAAATAAGAATATTACATAAGACGAGATCTATAACCCCCTACCCCTGAGTAAGAAATTGTAAGAAATCCTTGACCCCACCCACCCCAAAATACCTTACACAATTTATGAATGGCCCCTGAGTCATGCTGGTTTTAAATACTTATATTAAAGAACACAAAACTGCAAAATGGCTAGGATTTGAACAATCACCTTGGTATAATCATTTGAAAAAGAATGAATGCATGATTATCAGAGATAAAATTCAGATTCTCCATAATGATATAGACATTTATAAATGGAATTTAACCCCTTCTCATTCTAATTTTTTTCAGGTTGACTGACCAAAAAGTGTCAATTTTTTTTTATCATTGACATTGGTATATAATTAATTTTTATGAAAAATTGTAAAAAATTTGTTTTTACATGTGTTTTTTTTCTAAAAACAAAATAATTTTATTTGTTTGTCTGAAAAAAAACTATCAAAATCAATTTACATAGACACTTTCAGATTCCAAAATAAAACTAAATTTTCCCTCCAAAAATGACAAAGTAATTTCTGTAACATAATGCCATCTATTGGAGAAATCAACATAAAACAACAGTGAACACATCAGAGACATTAAAAGTTTCTAGAGCATTTTTTACAATGAATGTCAAATCCATGTGAGATGCAACAGTGACTGAGAAGGGCTTAAATGTTGCTTGACTTGAAATAGCTTATCTGATTTTTGTCACATATTTTATAGAACAGTATTTTTCTATCAGTTGAAAATATAGATTTTCTAAATGCACTGATATGAATTTAATTTACTAGCTTTTGTTTGTATTCGTCACTTCAACTCAGTACACTAGCTACTTAGGTTTAAACAGTTTGAAATATTCAGTTACATCTTCCTATTTACTGCAAACAGTGGATATTTCATTGCCAGAATGTAGGAACTTTCTCACATTTGCATACTATGTCATACTTTCTCAAAATTTGTATAAAATCATCATTTCTATTTCCATTAGAGTGACACAGTGCATAGCTTTAATTAGTAGTAGTTTAGGACACTAAACATTATAAACAATGTTTTAATGAATAAATTAGTGTGATCAACTCTCCCATCAGACATTTGTACATCTTTTGCAGTCACTTATCCTGTCACTTACTAAATTTCTGATTGTGTCAGCATTTTTATTTAATTTATTTACACAGTAAAGTTTCATTTTCTTACTGTTTAACAGGTATTTCTTTGTGTGTAAACAAAAAGAAAAGTATACAAATGGTTTAACTGATACAAAATTAAAGCATTTCAATATTCAACAGCAAAAATAAAAAAGAAGAAAAGATAATTAAAATACAGAAGAGTGTTGATTATCCGAAAGTCAATCATCTGAAACGTCAATCATCCTAAAGAATTCCAGTCGGCAAATTTAAATTTTCACCAGTGCTGTGACGCTGCAATCTTTGGCTATGTCTTGGGCTACTCAAATATTTTACGTTTTTGATACTAAATTAACTTCTGAAGTATAATTTTTTATTGTTTTTATATTTTTCAATATATTTATTTTGTTTGTACAAAATAAAAAAATAATTTTTAATGATACAATAGCCTTCGTTAGGCTTAACATCGACGAAAATTCAACATGAAGTGACACGCAACGGAGAAAAATGTCAAGATGGGATAAATTAATATATTTTTTCGTACATAATCAGTTATCCGAAACATCAATCTTCCGAACAACCCAGTCCCCAATTGATTCGGATAATCGATGCTCTACTGTACCATCTTTAAATTATTTTAACCCATTATTTGCTTAATTAAACAATAATTAACATAATATGAATAGCCAGTTAAGAATATTTTTGTTTATATGATGATGATAATGAAAGCAGACAATATTAGTTTAATTTATATCATAGTAATACATTATGATAGTTTTAAAATATCACAAAATAATATTATTTCAAATTAAGTGATCATATTTTTAAAAAAATAATTATTCATATATTAGAAATATAATCGATCAAAATATTTACTTCTTTCGAAGAAATCTGTAAAACTAGGACTTCTGGATTTCTTCAAAAGAACTAAACAATTTTATTGAATTTTCTTTTTTAAATATTTTAATAGTCTAATGCCACAATTTTGGCTAAATCTAAGAATCCCTGGAAGAAACACCTGTAACACTACATGTATATATACTCTTCATTTTCATTTTTCATTGTAACATAGATCTTATTTTTATTGAATAGCTGATAACATGGTCCCAATGCAATGTCACCTCCATGAAAAATTTTCTCATTATAGGTGGGCATGTCAACATTTCTTACACAACTCTTAAATTTTTTTTTTACTTTTTACTTCTTAATTATTATTATTCTTTTTAATATTTCTACTGTTTTCTCTTTTATTCCCACATTTTTGCTTGTTACAAATAATTACACTTTTTATTTAGTATACTGCCAAATATATGTTTTTTTGATATATGATTTTTATATTTTTTAATGAATGTATATTATCTATATGTTTTTTTAATTTTATACTTCTCTTCTATATATATTTTTTATGTATTATATTATTGCTTTGTATGTGTTTTCCATTGTCTTTTTGTGTTTTTTAAACTCCTTTTGGGCTTGTTATTTAAGTACTGGGATTGGAAATCAACTGCTTGATGGTATTTCTAAAATTCAATGTAAAATAAATGAATAAATATCATATTTAAATTTTAATTTAAAATGCTTATAATTATTATAACATTGGCAAAGTTTATTAACTAATTATTTTAGATAGATGATTACAATTTATTAATTTTATTTATTAAATTACAGGTTATTTTTATTAATCTGTTTCATGTACTAGAATTTACTCTTGGCATTTACAATAATATTATCTAAACTGATGTTATTTAGAAGCTAATTTAAAACTTCATATCATTAGATTCAATCAAAATAACATTTACAGAAGAACAATGATAACTTGTTAAAATCTCTATGCATGATTACTATTTGAATTATTCATGTGACTGTTTATCAACATCTTTTGATAATTTATTATTACATTATATTTTTCTTATGGTAAATTTTTATATTATAATAATTTATTATTATTTTTTATTTTAGTTAATGCAATCTATTACTGGCTGTTCAGTTTCTCAAAATGTAGTAATTGCTGTATCTGGAATTTCCAAAGTATTTGTTGGTGAAATAGTAGAAGAAGGTAGGGAAATTGATTTTTATTTAAATTAATTAATACTATTATCTAAGTATTTTATCTAATAGAAGCAAAATACTTAATTTTAAAAATTATTACACACTATAGTAAGAATTTTTAAAGCAGACAAACAATATTACCTTCGTAATACAATAGTATCTAAAATTCTGTAACTAATTATGTGGTTAACCTGAATTTTTAACAATTATATGATTATTTCTCTTTGTTTGGCCTAATCAAACACATGATGGTTATGATTGAAAAGGCTCTTTTAGTTTCTGCAAAGTGAAAAGGAAAAAATGAAATAAAAATGACTCATCAAATGAAATTTCAAAATGTATAATTATGTAAATATATTTAAATGATCTACTATTTAACAAATTCACTTTTACAATAACTTATGATGTTTCTAAGCAACAAGAATTAAATTTTTTTCATTCAAAAAAAATTAATATACGGTGATGTAAAATTTATAAATAAAATGATTTCAGCAAACTAAAATAAACAATAATGACAAAATATATAAATAATAAAAATGTGTAAAAATAAATTATTTCAGTGAATGCTGTTATTGTAAATGAATTATATTAACAATTCTAGGCTGTACTCATAAGCAAAATAGGCAACTATAAAAAATAAAACAAATACCTATACATGATATGGATGTTGGTAGAAGCTAATTTTTTCCACTCCTATATTATGTACAGGTGTTGGAAGAAAATATTAGTATTTGTCATGCATTCATAACACAAAATGTAAATTTCATAAATGATTTATACTACTATATTGCAATATTTCATAATTTTCCTTATTGATATTCTATTAGAAACAGAATTAATAAGAGGAATTGTATAAAAAAAATTATTTTTCTTTCTCATTGAGTCAAATCTATTTGTTGTGATTGTGTATATAATGAGCTTCTTTGTTAATTTATTCTAAAGTTATGTTGTTAAATATTCATTGATAAAGATTGCTATATTTACTATTTTGTTTCACTAAAAAAATTTTTATAAATTAAAGCATATAATGATTGAATTTTTGATAAATACATGAAATATTATTATTTTATTTTGTTGAAAAATTTATAAATTATTGCAAAACTGTAAATAAAATAAAAAAAATGTTTTTGGAAACATGATTTTGAGAATATGGGTTCTCAAGGCAGATTTAGAGAGACCAAGGCACATGTCTCCTGTTGTTTTATGGAGAATTTTACTCAATTACTTCAGAATTATTTTAGTTATCTAATCTTACCTAATTGAATTTGTATGTCATGTGCTGTTAGATTTATTTTTACTTTAAAGCAAAAACAAAACTGATTACTTTGATATCAAGGTGCAGCTACAGCACCATAAGCACCCAACCGGATATACTTGATGAAAAATATTTTTAATATAAATTGCTATCCACAAGATATTGATTATAATTTTTTATGCAGGTTGACTGTAGTAATATAATTATTGTTTTAATCATTGAATAATGTAGAGGTGTATCATATAAAGTTCTGTAACCTGGTTAATTATTATTTTTTTTTTATTACATATAAATTAAATAAAATTTAAGTCTTGTTTATAATAATATAAATTAAGCTTTAACAATAAATGTATTACTAAATTTATATGAAATACCATATTTACTCGCATATAAGATCAAGTTTTTATTCATTTTTCACTGCTTCGAAAACCTAGGTTGTCTTATACGTGCAAGCAAAGGATAGAAATAGTTAAATAAATAAAACTCACGCCAAAATTGTGTAGCTTCTTGATAATAAGCACTGAATTCAGCATTAACATGATTTTCTTATATCGCAAGTACTTTCGATGAGTATTATATCGTCATCCTCAGGCAAAAAATAACAAATTTGAAAAAATAGAACATGCAGAGTGTTCCAAGTAGAAAACTGAAAATTTTCTTGTCAATTTTCTGTTTTCTACTTGGAACACTCTGCACATTCTATTTTTTCAAATTTGTTATTTTTCGTCTGAGGATGACGATATAATACTTGTCGAAAGTACTTGCAATACAAGAAAATCGTGTTAACGCTGAATTCAGTGCTTATTATCAAGAAGCTAAGTGAGGATTCTTTTCATTTTTGTATAATTTTTGTAAATTATGTATTTGCATATTTTACCAGATTCTCACTTTCTGGTGTTTAAAAACAAAAGTATTTTATCTGGGTCATTTGAATCGTTCTTGTGTATTGCCAGTAGTAAAGATGAATAGCAATAGGAAAAGCAAAGCTTTTGAATTGAATTCCAAAATTACACAGGAGCCCGATATAAATTTAAATTCATTTCCATGTGAAAACAGATGATTATTCAGAAATCAGAATTTGGAGAAACTCATAAGAATAATCAATGGAGAGTGGATTCAACTGTTAAGAATTGGCAAAAAAGGTTCTTGATTATCCAGCTTTACATAAACAAATTATGTTGTTGATTTTACAAGATTTTTCCGTATTGAAGTTTAAAATGCCAGTAATTTTTTCAGGACGATGTGTGCATTTACATGCACATGATATTTTATTTGTGATTAAATGAAATAAAATTAGAATTGTGTTGATAAATCTAATTTTCTTTATTTTGATCTTTAAAGTCACACCTTATATGTGAGATTGTCTTATAAGCGAGTAAATATGGTAAATTCTATTACAGTTTACATGAAACTTGAATTAGGGTAATGGCACTAGTAGTTGACTGTTTAAAGCTGTTTTGGACTTTGATATTTTTTATTATGATGTGTAGTAACACTAAAAGCAAAATTCATATATGAAAATAAAGTTTGTTTTATACTTTCATGGAAAAAATTGTTTATTAGACCTTTGTTTACATTATGAAAAAGATTATTTACTCACACGGGCTGTTCATCCAGTAATGCACCAGTGAGTTGCACAGTTGTTTATGGTGGGTGACAACTGTGTTTTCCTTAATCAAGAATCTCACAAATATGACAGTTGTGAAAGGATAAGTGATGTCCATAATAGGCATTTTGTAGAAAATATGCACCTGAAACACGGAGCCCTTGTTATCTTCTAAAGACAACAATGCCTCATTATGTGGTCAGCTACAAGAAGGAGTGTTGTGCAATAACTTTTTCCATCACCATGAATGGAGTCTGTCATTCGTTCATGTTATTGAGAATGGAGTTTCTTTTGATGCTTCCTGTGAAGATGGCTTATCTAAACCTGCTCCGGTGAACTGAATTATTCATGGATCTTGGCTTACACAGTCAACTACTGGAAGCAGTTGGCAATAGGTGCCCCCACCCTATATTATTTATAGTTTATAGTTTATAAAACTATAATATAAGATATGGCTTTTTAATTTATTGATGAAAATACTGAATAAAAAGAAATAACTTTTTAAAAGAAAGTAAAACTTCTGAAAATAATTAAATAAGAGAACTATTTAGTTCAAGAAATAAAAACTTTAATAAATTACATGACTAAACTCAGTATACAAACATTAAATTCAATAGAATAGAATGATATACTGCACATAATAAGTAAAACCCTGCTTAATGCTGCCTCGCTTAACACTGATTCAATATAACACCATCTGTTCAAAGCCTAAAAAAAAGCTCAAAATTTTAAATTATTGCGGCATTTTATTGATTTGTATATAATATGATTATTTATGAACACAATCCAATCAGAAAAAGGTGGCAAAAAGGTGTACTTTCTTTAAATCTACAGTAGAACCCCTCTAATCCGTCACCTTTGGGACTGGGGGTATGGTCGGAACGCAAAAAAGGTCGGATTATCAGAAAAAAGTAAAATAAACAATCTTCCCCTTTGTCCAGTCTTTGTAGCACTGCTAATTTTTCATTTAATGAAAGAGTAACGTGTTTACGTTTCACTCCTGACTGTTGAAAACACACAAAACTGTACATGTACACACAATGTAAAACATNTTGTCCATTTGGTGGCAATACACTTTCAAATGATTTGTGGAATTGTCTGGTAGATGCTCAAAAAAAAAAAAAAAACCCTTAAAATCCAACTAAAGAGAGCATCTCTTTCTTTAAGAACATGTGGAACCTATATATCGAGCTTTGAAACGAAACCAAGTTGTTTCAAATGATCATAAATGGTTCAATTTGACAAATTTAATCTCTTAGTGATTTCTTGTGTTGTTATTTGGCAGTTTGCTTCAATCAGTACCTTTATTTTGTCTTCATCAGCTTCAACTGGCCTTCCAGAACGTGGTGCATCTTCAATATCGAAATTGCTAGAATGAAATTTTGTGAACCAGTTTTGGCACTGTCATTCTGTCAACACATCATCTCCATATGTCACACAATTTTTTTCTTGCTTGAACAGCATTTTTATTTTTTTGGTAATAAAAAAGTAAAATATGGCAAAAATGCTAATTTTGATTTTCCATATATGATGGGACACCAAAAAAAAAAAAAAAAACCATTGGACAGAATCAAACAAGATTTTTTACAAATACAGTAAGACCCCACTTAATGCGGGGGATGCATTCCTAGATGACAAAGTGCTAAACAAAACAGCGTTAAACAAGACCATTTCAACATAGAGTAAATAGGGATGGGGAAACACGTGACCAAAAATTTTTTAAAATTTTACTTTAATTTTAAGTTATTTTCATGTTTCATGTTCCCCTATCCCTATTTACTTTATGTTAAAATAACCTCGTTTAGCCCTTTGTCGTCTAGGAATGCATCTGCCACGTTAAGTGCCACGTTAAGTGGGGTCTTACTGTATAATCTAATTTTTCATTTTAGACACAGTCATTTCAGAGCATAAAATATATTTAATAAAGAGTAAGAGTTTGAATGAAATGTATAAAAACATTTAACAATCTTGTTATCTCTCTCTCTCTCTCTCTCTCTCTCTCTATTTGTTTTAATTATTTTCAAACTTTAAAAAAAAAAGATATTTATTTATTATGTAATTACAAGTGCATTTTAGCTAGTTTGATTTACTATGGAAATTGATAACATAATTTACTTCAAAATAAGTAAACAAACTTATGAAAATT